GAGTGACAGAAAGGGTGACTAGGCAAACCACAGGGGCCTCTGGAGGCAGTGAAACTGTGCTGTTTGGGACGATAATGGTGGCACTTGTCAATTAAAGACTTGTCTAAACCCTTCAGGAGACAGAGCACCAAGAGAGAACCCCAAGGTAAAATATGGGCTCAAAATAAGAGTGTATCTGCATTAGTTCTTCAGTGGCAACAAATGTAGCCAGCAAAAATATCCCCGAGAAGAGAAGCTGCAGGGGCGGAGTAGATGGGAGCCCCTGCACCTCCTGCCAGTGTTTGGGCAAACCCGAATTTACCCCAACCTAGTTTATTCATTGAGAAAAGCTTGAGCCAGACATGGTGGTGCACACCTTTAATCCCAGCACTCAGGAGGCAGAGGCAGACGAATCTCTGTGAGTTTGAGTCCAGCCTGTTCTATAAAGTGAGTTCCAGGAAAGCCAAGGCTACATAGAGAAACTCTGTCTCCAAAAACAAAACAAAACGAAACGAAACGAAAGAAAGGGAGGAAGAAAGGAAGAAAAGAAAAGCCTGACTTACTAATTCCGTGGATCTTCTTCTGCTTGGGAGGCTGTGGCTGTGAAGCACAGTGCGTGGCCCTGGATATTGCCGTGGGCGGCAGCTTTGGTGAGACTGTGGCCCCGAGAGTGAGCCTCCTGTGACTAGGTGGGCAAGCTGTGGGTTCTTAGGCTTTGAGGGCCAGAGAAATATGGCCTTTACCCTATGAGCAGTGGGGGCTACTGAGAAAAGTCCATCAGGAGAGTGACATGGGGAGATGATACTTCAGGAGGCCTGGGCTGTAGTTGTATCCCTTCTCGGAACTTCGTGCTCTGTTTGTAGAACCAGAAGGCTGTACTGGTTGTCAGGGAAACTGTCTTCAGCCCGAGGGTCTGAGGTCGAAGCCTGGCCCCACTTCCCATCCCCTCCCTCCCCTGCCTCTGTCTCACTGTCTCATGCTTTGGTTGGATGGCTCCCCTTGGGGGACATCTACTGCACAAGGCTGTGCCTGGGGAGCAGCTCCATTTGATTTGATCTGATTTTTCTCTCTGTGAAGTCTTCAAGGGGAAGAGCCAAGGCCTAGCCTGTTCCTAGCAGCCTCATGGGGAGGAGACAGAAATCAGGAGACTGGGAACCAACTCCCTTGGGGTTAAAGAGCAGGATAGGATGCAGAGCAGAATGGGAGGAGGTTTCTGATTGCTAGACACCTTGACTTCCATCTAGCCGAACTCCACCTGCCCCCACTTTGGAAGCTCTAGCTGGCTGTGTGCGTTAGGGGAGGCGTCTCTGCCCCTTCCAAACTGTCTCCTGTCACTGCAGTATGATTTATGAGCTTTCCCTCTAAAACATGAGAACACTGGCCGCTGACGCTGCCCTGTAGTCGGCCTAATAAGTGGCATCTTCTTGTTATGCGCAGGATGCTAGGGGCAGAAGAGGAGGGAATCCACAGTGGGCTGGGCTTTGTTTTGTTTTAACATGAGAAACACCAGGCTCTTGGTGGATCTCAGTCTCTCGAGTATCCAAAGCTTTATTGTCACCTTCAGGGGATGTGAGTCTGATTCCTAGCTCAGCTTTGCACTAGCTTTTAGGACTGTAGCCTGATGGTGTCCTCTGAGCCACCACCCCCTAACTACAGAGGTGAAGTTGGGGACACCAGCAGTGCCCTCCTTCTAGGAGTGCCCTGTGGTTTCCATGAGAGAGGCACCCACAGAACATGAGCCCTTGAAACGCTGGCATCATCGAGATGATTCTAACAGTGGAGGGTCTGAAAGTTGGTAGGGGAATATCTGCAAAGGATTGTCGTGGCTGTGTGTTGATACAGCAGCTGAGTCTCACAAGAGTGTCAGCATTTCTATCCGTTTACACACATGGGCCTGTGAACACACATGCCTGTGCAGCTGGTGATAGTTCATAGAACATAATGTGATCTTCGCCAAGCCTCCAAGCCTAGTTTACACAAAGCCTTTGTTCTTCCTCTGTAGAAACTGATAATGCACGAGGGCCACACTCTGTGTGCTTGTGTGTAAAAACTGATAGTGAGTAAGAGCCACACCAAGTGTGTGTGGCAAGTGTGTGCACATGTGTATATGTGTATGTATTTGTGGGGCATATGTATATATGTATGCATGTGGTATATGTGTGTATGCATGCGTTTATGTATGTGGCATGTGTACATGTGTGTATGCATGTGTGTGTGTGCCATGTATGTGCATGTGATGTGTGTGTGTGTGAATGTGGCATGTGTTGTAATGTGACTTTTGTCTAAGTGTGTCTGGTAGGTGAGGTTAGTGAGTAGTGTGTGGTTAATTCTAAGTATGTGGCATGCACTATGTTCTGTATATGAACTTTGTGTTTATCTGTGTGTGACACCAGTGTGTGTTTGTGTGTCAGATAAGGTGCTCACAGTCAGCTGCTTTGTGGGCTGGGCAGAGGAACATAAGCATTAGTAGCTTGTTGGACTGGTACTGTTTTCCGATGGGTCTGTTTTGTTCTGGGAGACTCTACACTCAGAGCTTGGATTTCATTTGTGGAGACCTCAGAGAGCATGAAAACAACCATCATCCGAAACCAGTCTTGGCAATCTCTGATGCCAGGAGTCCCACAGTGTGCTGGGGATGGTGGTGGGCCAGTGGGTCCGCCAGGCCTTGCTGGAAGGGGCCCTCCCGCCAGGGCTGCAGGGCAGCAGTGTGGGACTCCTGCTGTCTACCCTCAGGATGAACTCAAAAGTCTCTGCTGTCCCACAGTTTTAGCTGACATTTAAAATGTTTCAATCTTAGTGTAAGGAGTTACAAAGGATATATTTCTACCATGTTTTAAATATTGGCATTTTAGATTAACATTGCACCGTTCTCTTAAAAGTAGACCAAACTAAAACTCAATAACATTGCAGTTTAAAAAGTTGTCTTTTCGTGAGGTGTTATATAATCCAGAAAAATGCACATATGGGGTGCAGCTCCATTCATCTGCCTGTGTTCTGACCAGATCAAGGTATTGGGCATGCCCAGAACCCCAGAAGGCAACCTTGTGTTCCTCTGAGTCAACATGCCCCTAAAAGTGGCAGCTTCTCTCTCTAACAGTGTAAACTGCTCTTCCTGGTCTCGTTTTTCCTGGCTGGTTCAATAAACATGAGATCCATGCAGTTCAAGCCTGTGCTGTATGGAGCCCGTACCTTCTCACCACATAGCGTTCTCCTGAACAAAACATCACTTCTTTCTTACTGGACTTTGGAGCTTCTAATGCTTAGTGATAAAGCTCTGATTCTTGAGCATATTTTTGGGTGGACATAAGCATTGACTCCTTTTGGGTATTTATCTGTGAGTAGAATTGCCAGGTCATAGGAAGAATTCTGTAATACATCAGTATTCTTCACTGTCCATCAAAGAGAACCCAAAGGTATAAAACTTTTTACATCATTTATTGTCTTTTAAAATTCATAATTCCCTTCAATTTCTTTCACAGAATTTTATCTTAATATGGTTTTATGCTTAAAACTTATAAATTGATTATCACATTTCTTTTTAACCTATATACAAATTGAAATAGACATTTTGATTTTTAAAGTTACATTTAATTAATTAATTAATTAGAGCACAGAGGGTTTGTGGTCCTTTGAATTGAGGAAGGCTTTCTATCACCAATATTTGAAATTGTTCTTTTTGGGACACCCAGATATTTTTGCCATTTTGGGGTCTTCCATCATAGTTAGACTCTGGGTGAATGCAGCCTTGGTTTTTCTTCTAGAAATCGGGAACAGACCCATTGTGAAGAGTGAGGTGGGAGGAGGGTGGCATTCTCAGGCAGAGCTAGACAGCACAGCAGTGGGAATGAGGCTCTCATGTGGATTCTCCCATCCTCCTGTCTGCAAACCTGTTGGGAAGTCTTGCTATGTCCCTAGGTAGCTCTGTGCCAGTTTGTAGACCTCTTAGATGATGGTGATGATGGGAAGGGGACACTGGACCATTCAAGGATGGGCTTGAGTGATTTACAAAATTAATGGGATGTAGACAGAGAACCCATGCTAAAGAGCTGAATGTAAGCTTTAGGCAGAGGGGAGCCTGGGGTATTTTTGAGGAGGTTGTCAGCAAAGAGCAAATAGGATGTCTTGAAGAGCTGAATCTATTGAGGACCCAGGAAGGGGTTCTGCATCTGAACCGTGGCAGTGAAGGAATTAGGACTTGACAAAGTGTTGGGCTGTGACTGTTAGGATATCAGGACACGTTAAGGTTGTTAAGGGTTTTAAGGCCTGAGGTGAGATTTTTTTTTTTTTATTTTTTTAGCTCGACTCCTAGCTTTTGAACATTTCTCCTGGTTGCCCAGACTCTATCAGTCAGTACTTCTCCAAGTGTGGACTAGGTTCTTCTAGAGGCACTTGAGATGTTTAGGAGCTTAAGGTATTTGAAAGCAGTATAGGCAGGACCTTAAAGAACACCGGGGCTCTGGATACCTTCTGATGCCCTCTGGGTCCTGCCTGTATTAATGAGAAAAATCTTAACACTTCTCCCTGGGCTACCTCTTTTTCGTTGACAAAGAATAAGCTTCCTGGGCAAGGCCTCTGGCCCTTTGGCAAACCCTAGTTGTAGTGTGTAAATAGGATTTAAAAGCGTTATTTTCATAGAACTCATTTCCGATATCCCGGGCTGCAAGGGCTCCCCCTTTTCTGGAGATAGATAGAGAGAGAGATAGATAGATAGATAGATAGATAGATAGATAGATAGATAGATTTTTAGTTTAAGCAAATTCATTCCAGTGATAAAAATTAGTAAATTTGCTAATCATGTTGAGTAACATGTAGCTGGTGGTCTGTGCATCAGTCAGAAACCTTCATGGCAACATGGAGTAACTCAAGTTTGGGAAACAGTAGGTTAGACTGTAGAGCAGAAGGGGGCCCTTGCCAAATCTCTGCATAGCAAAGTTGGGGCTCTGTCTGAGTTCTGGGGGGGGGGTCTGGGTCCACTGCTGTCCCCGGCCACAGCCTGATGCTCAGCTCCTTGCCTCCCGCAGAGATCCGCATGCAGCTGGTGGAGCAGTTCAAATGCCTGGAGCAGCAGTCAGAGTCGCGGCTGCAGCTGCTGCAAGACCTGCAGGAGTTCTTCCGCAGGAAAGCTGAGATCGAGCTGGAGTACTCCCGAAGCCTGGAGAAGCTGGCTGAGCGCTTCTCCTCCAAGATCCGCAGCTCCCGGGAACACCAGTTCAAGTGAGAAGTTGGCTGTGGGTCCTGAGGTGGGAGGTAGCGCCGGGCAGGAGGGCTGTTGGCAGAGGCAATGAGCGGAGGAGGCCAAGAGTGGATGAGGAGGCCAGGACTGGACCTTGACCTGTGAGGTCCTGCGAGGTGCTGGGTTCTGCGGCTTCCAGGAGCTCGTTGTTCTCATGCACCAGTTAAAGGTGGAGATGACTTCCATGCAGAAGGCTGCTGTAGAGAGTAGATGAGTGACTTGGAGCTGCCTTTGTTTATGCCCAGCTGAGACTCCGTACCTCCTTTCAGCACATCATGACTTCATCTGGTTGACTTTTACTTGGGTATCAGCTCAGCTTCTGTGTCCTTAGAATAGACGTCTTTTCATGGACTGGGTCCATAGAGTATCCTCCTTCCTTGCTGTTCTGGAGGACCTCAGTACCTAAACACTGTCCTACCTTTTTATTTACGGCACACAGACCCTCTGATATCCTAACTGCTCAAACCCCAAACTCTGAGTGCTGAGGGTCTCTATCTGACCAGGCAGGTTCTGAAGACCTGTAGTTACACCCTGAATTGCTGCTGGAGCTATCCACAGTGGGTGTGCACCGCTGGGGTCTTATCACCTGCCCCTCCTTCCTCTTGATTTGAAACCAGCTCCCCTTACATCCTAAGTGTGAGCGTGGAGGAGAGGGGGAGGGCAGGTCTTGAGGACACAGGGGTCCCTTATTCCCTCACCTTGTCTATAATGAGCCCCACTAGCCCCTCATGGGTTCATTAACTCAGCCACCAGACGGATGGGTGCCCCAGCTGGCAGTTGGACCAAGTGGGCTGCTTGTCTCACTATCAAAGTCTAATTAGGGGGGTCACCCAGGCCAGTGCAGCTGGGGTAGACCCTCTACGTGATGCTAATGTGATGGTCCAGCCCTGATGGCTTTTGGTTTTTTTTTTTTTGGTTTTTCAAGACAGGGTTTCTCTGTGTAGCTTTGCGCCTTTCCTGGAACTCACTTGGTAGTCCAGGCTGGCCTCGAACTCACAGAGATCCACCTGCCTCTGCCTCCCGAGTGCTGGGATTAAAGGCGTGAGCCACCACCACCCGGCCTGATGGCTTTTGGAAGTTGAGTTTTCTGGGCAGGCTGACTCACCTTGGACTCCAGGGTGCTCAGTGACCTGGCTGCTGCTTCCGTTCACAGGGTCTGTGCTGTGCTCTGGGCCTTCAGCCGAGATGTCGTGAGAAGCCAGGCTGTCTTACAGATTCTTCACTGAAGGGTGCTTCTTGGCAGCTTGTTTTATTCTCACTGCAGTGAGCTTAGCTGAGGAGGGAAAAGGGAGGAGGGGAAGGAAAGAGCAGGAAGGAGGGGAGGGTGAGGTTTATTAATTCTTGGTTTGCGCACTTTACATGAGAGATTTGACTCAAAGAGGGAATTGATTTGCTGAAGATACCACTGCAAGTTAGGGACAGAATTGGGGCTGAAACCCAGGTCCTTCTGCTCTAGGTCAGGGTGTTTTCTTTTGTCCTATGGGTACTTCTCCCTAAGGCCCACGCTTTTCCTAATCTGCTGTGGGGATGTTTACAGTTGTGGAAGGTGCTAAATTTAGGGCCAGACCTAGCTAGGTTGAGTTCCATGTGGCACTTTGTAGCTAGAGTTTTTCTCTCCAGGTCCTGCCAAGCCCTGGCAGTCCTGTAGCCCACTTATAAAATAAACATACAGACACTTGTATTATTTAAACTGCTCGGCCATTAGCTCAGGCCTACCATTGTCTAGCTCTTACTCTTATATTCAGCCCATTTCTGTTAATCTGTATGTCGCCATGTGTTCCGTGGCTTTACCTGCTGTCTTTACATGCTGCTCCCTGGACGGCAGGCTGGCATCCCCTCCAGACTTCCACTTCCCAGCCTCTCTTCTCTGTTTGTCCTGCCTATCCTATACTTCCTGCCTGGCTACTGGCCAATCAGCGTTTTATTTATTCACAACATACAGGACATCCCACAGCAGCACTTGATTTAAAGAAAGGCCTAGGGGCTGTCATGGTGGCTCAACCGTCTAAGGGGCTTGCTGCCATTCCTGACAACTTGTGTTTGATCCCCAGAACCCATATGGTAGAAGGAGAGACTGACTTCTTGTCCCCTGTGTCCACAAAAGGCTTGGCCTATTGTGGTGATATTTTAATTGTGCTGAAATGTGATTTTATTTGTATGTTAATAAATAAAATTTGCCTGGAGATCAGAGGTCATTAGCAAGCCAGGAATAGAAGTCAGGTGGTGGTAGCTCATGCCCTTAATCCGATCACAAGGCAGGCAGAGTCTCTGTATGGTCAAGGACACAGCCAAGCGTGGTGACCCTTGAGTCTTTAATCCCAGTACCAACCATAGAGACCAGGAGGTCTGTATAGACAGGCAGTGATGAGGAAGTCATGCAGCTAGGCTTAGAGCCAATGAGAAGGCCGAGCAGAAAAGCAATAAAACACAAGACACACAGGAAGAAGGTCTCTCTCTGAGGAGAAGGATGGCAGTGAGTGGTAAGATAAAGGTAGTCTTGGCTGTTCGCTAATGCTCTGATCTCTTGGGCTTTTAACTCTGTATTTGGCTCTGGGTTGGTACAAATGTTTCTTGAATAAATGTCCAGTGGTAATTAGAGCTGCCATAGTGGGCAGTGTATCTTTTGACTTCCTCAGATTGGTGAAACCGTTTGAGCAAATTCCCCACTCAGGTGTCTGGTACTTGGTGCTGCGGTGCTGTGAGGACAGAGTGACCTTGACAGTAGCCTTCTGGCTGGGGAATGGGGACCACCAAGGGGCCAGTGTGTAAGGCTTGGTAAAATAGAGGCTTCTCCAAAATGCAGAGTTTGTGGCCTCCCCCGGCCTCCTGCATCAGAAGCTCTGGGGCAGCAGCAAGCCTTTCTGGGGGTTCTGGTGACCAGCCACTTTGATGGTTTTCTAGATGACAAATGGTTTCAGTCTTTTTGTGGGCTACACTGGCCTACCTTCCTAGTCACCAGCATAGAAGTCACGGTCTTGCCCTTTCTGGAGGGGCCTGCAGGAGCCTGGCTTTTCCTTCTGATGGGCTGGAACCAGGAACATCCCCTGGGCAGGAAGATGCCCTGGAGGGCAGCACATAGGGGCCTGGCCCTGCTTCTCAGGTGGGTGGGTGGTCTGGTCCAAACAAGATGGCTACGTCTGCAGAGGCAGAGGTTTCCTGTGACCAAGACTTTTCCCAAGAGCTGTATATTCTAAAACACCAATACTTTGACATACTTGGTAGAGGAAGAAAAAAAAGAAAAGAAAAGAAAACGAATTCTGTATTTGGGGATCACTGACTAGTCTGGAACTCACTATGTAAACCAGGCTGGCCTTGAACTCACAGAGATCTACCCATCTCTGCCTCTTGGGTGCTGGGACTAAAGGTGTGCACTGTCATGCCCAGCCCACTGACAGCTCTTAACAGCTGAGTACAGTGTGTGGAAGGCTCTGAGAGGTTTGTACGAAGACTGTTGTCTTCTTTCTGAAAGCAAGGTGACCATAGGATTTCCCCTTCCTAGGATAAGTAGTTATACTTTGCAAACTAGGGCTCTCTGGGACCCCATATTCAAAGCTCTGTTCTTTACAAACCCCGAAGTGTAATGGCATTCCACTCAAACAGTGCCCTGTATTTGGGGTGTCAGGGCCCCTTTTATTCTGACTCCTTTGGTTTTTCAGTAGTTCTTGGTTTTAGGGGAAAATGCCTCAAGACAATCCCCTGTCCAAGGTTAAGTGATGCTGGCTGCTCTGTGAACCACAGAGAAAAGCAGCAGAGAATTCTATTTAAACACATTACAAGTATTTGGGGGAAAAGCCAGAGTTTGGGAAGAGCTAGGCGGTGCTTGGCTAGACACTGCATAATATTCTGTGCAGATATTCAGTGCCAGCGCATTGGGAGTGTCTTCCAGCTCCACAGAGCAGTTGAGAGGGAGGATCCCACCTGGCTTCCTTTCCAAGAAAGCACTCTTTACTGGGGAAGAAGTGCCATAGTTTTCACAGCTGCAGCATGTCTTAAAACGATAGTATTCAGCGTTCCAGGTTATTCTTGACAGAAAAGCATTTTTGCAATGTGTAATTTGAAGTTGGTGTGCAGAGAACCCAGGGTTGAAGGTCTGAGCAGAAGAGATAGGGATGGAGGAAGCCCTCAGATTGGGCTTGTGTTTCTACTGATAATTATGACTGCTCCCATGTCCAAAGTCACACCAATAAGTTGTTTGATTTTCCATGTTTCCTCGTGTCTACCTTACCTTGTGCCACGTTCTCTCCAAGGTTAACAGCAGTCACCCTCTTAGTGGCACTTTTGTGACATGCAGAACAGATACATCTTTATCTTCATAGTTGACACTGGTAAGGTTTGGGGAGATTGATTTGCCGAGGACACAGCTTTAGTTGTAGATGATACAGGCAGGATTTGCATCTTGGTTTGCAGACTCCAAGTGCAAAGTGCCTCTGGCTGTGCCGCTGCACGGCAGGTCTGTTTCCTTGGCTCTCTGCCCGGGTTAGTGCTTGCTAAGGGTCACCATCTAACCAGACCTGTGTGAGCATCAGGGGTCTGGGAAAGGCTCTTGTGCAAAGTCTCTCTTCTGGCTTGGCTAGTTGTGGGTCTCAGGTCAGATTAGCGAGGAACCAAACAGTTTCTAGATCGGGCATGCCACCTTCATCCTGCTAGGTACTTGAAGCAAGGGGGGCATTTCTAATCTGTCTCTGTCTCTTTATCTGTCTCTGCGTCTGTCTTTCTCTGTCTCTTTCTGTGTCATAACACAGTACAGAACTGAGCAGTGCTCCTCAAAATAAAGGAAGGCTCACTGGTGCTGCCTGAGCCATAACTTCAATTCTCTTTCAGCCTTGAGGAGAAAGCCTCCTTGGTGCTCTTGCAGTGGTAATGCCTCTCTAATCTTTCCACAAACCTCAGGCTTCTGTACCTGCCCAAGAATGCATTATGCTGTTTGTCTCCCTTAACGGTACTTTCTCAGTTACCTTCTATTTATGGCAAGCATTTTAAA